CAATGAATTTTTCATAAAAAAGCTGTAATGTACTAAAAGTATTTATTAGTTTGGTCGCGCACACTCTAACTGCACATATATTGAGTGTAAATAACGTGTACATTTAGTGGAAAGTGCATTAAATATTGTGAAATAGTGCCATATAAGTTTGTTAAATATACAAACTTTAACAACAAATTACTTAAAAACTATAAGGTTCCGCGCTTTTAAACTTTACATAGACAACCATTACCACCCCTTCTTTCCCCCCTATTTTCCTCAATCCCGTACTCAGGGGTTACCATTCTAAAATGTTTACCTGTATTCATTGATTTAAATACCTGCAAATCCCAATTTTTGTCTTTTGAGAAGCTTTAGAAAAATAATTTCGGAAGGTACTGAAGTGGCGACCATAAGCATAGTAAAATAATATAAAGTGTGCCAGCTAGCAATGAGATTCTATTTCGGTACACTTATTTGGTAATTTATTATCATAATTTTTTCTTTCATTTGACTTTTATGTCAACCCTTTCGGGTGAGAACTTGTGAAGTTTTTTTGATTTGAGAAAAAAAAAAAAAAAACATGACAAGAAATGCTTGCCGCTTGTGCAAAAGCACACAAAAAGTTGCGGTACTGATGTTTTCAGTCCCTCCGGATAAGACCTAAACCGAAATCGGGCAGAGGTGCGCAACAAGACCAAATGTCAATGCCAGAATTGAAAAAACGAAAATGACAAATTCAAATTTTCTTTGAAATAAGCGTACATCACTTTATATTATTTCACTAAGGGTACTCATCTATTCGCGCAAGTTTCATATTTGGGCAATTGGGCAACTTTGCGCAGTGTGTTTCATGAGGACAATTTTATATTCTGTGCAATTTCAGACATTTAATTATTTGACAATGCTTAAGTTAAAAAGTTGAACAATTGAAACTCGAATTTAAGAAAATTTTCAAGTCTTACGAAAAAGCGTTGAGCACAAATCAAAATGAAAGTAAACAAAATAGTTGATTGAGGGTTGCACATCACACTGCGCAAATTTGCGCGACAAAAATTTCCGCGCTAACTTGCCCTGTTCGTGCAAATAGCTTCCATACAAATTTTGACATTTCATTTGCGAGGGTTTTAAATTGCACAGTTTGCCCAGTTTGCGAGAGTTCGGCACTTTTAAATGAGTACCCTTACTATGTTTATAAGCTATGTGAAACCGTTGTGGAAATTGCTGTTTAAAATCTGCCCAAATTTCCAAAGGGTTTTACAGTGTCAATATCATATCAATTAATATCATTTTGTAGAAGGCACTAAACGTTCCTACTAATAAATTAGCAATTTATTAGTGCAAATAACGGTAATTCTCTAGTATAGGGTAACAACCCCTAAAAAAAGGTCCGGAAAAGTCGGGAGGGGTACCAAACGACGCGTTTCGATCCCCCTATTAACAATCCGATGGGGGAGGGCTAATATTATTAACCATTTAAAAGTTATGAACAAAAAACTTTTGTTAAATTTCGTTGTTTTGTATGGGCAATTACCCCGACAAAAATTCACTTAATCACATGTTCTCACTTTTTAAACACTTAAAATATATAATCTAACTTAATTATTAAACAAACGCATAGTTTTATCAACCTAAGATAGATTATCTTGTTACTAAAAAGAAGTTGACAATCTTTGCGAACTGAAACGCGAGATTCCAAAAAAATCAATGTGCTGCCACTGTATTAGTATTTCGTAATAATTCACTTTTCCTTACATGGTGTGTGCAGTGTTCAATGCTTTTCGGTATCTTCTTTCCTGCGGCGCTTTTTCCATAAAAATCAATACTTCGATAAATAAGGAAAATTTTTAATTAAAAATCGCGCGATTTTTGTATTAAAAATTTTCATCTGCGGCGCTTTTTCCATAAAAATCAATACTTCGATAAATAACTGTAAACCATAAAAGTAGCGCTGCCATGGTATAGCGAAATTTGCTATTATATTTTGGTTAGAATATTTTATTTAGGTGAAAGTAAAAAAAGAAGAAGTGTATAGTGTAAGCTGGGTGTAATAGCACAAACGAAATGTGAAATAAAGTGGCAACACCAGCGATTTGAGGTTATAATAAAAGTGAATAAATGATTTTTTTTTCATAAAACAACAACCGGAGACGTTTTAATAGTGTTTTAAAAGTGGAAACTGGTGATTTAGTGCATTTTTGACGTAGTAATTGCTCATAGAAAACAACGAAATTTAACAAAAGTTTTTTGTTTATAACTTTTANGGCCACAACGACTTTTTTTTAGCTCTTTTTAGCTCTTTTTTTAACGGAATTTGGCTACCGCTAAAAATGGTTCGCGGCAACACTGGGCTGAACACCTTTTGCAGAGAGCACCTTTCTGCGTAGGCGGCCTTCATGATCCAACTACACAAGATCTGACAAGATGAAGCAAAAGAAAAAANTAAAAATCGCGCGATTTTTGTATTAAAAATTTTCATCTGCGGCGCTTTTTCCATAAAAATCAATACTTCGATAAATAACTGTAAACCATAAAAGTAGCGCTGCCATGGTATAGCGAAATTTGCTATTATATTTTGGTTAGAATATTTTATTTAGGTGAAAGTAAAAAAAGAAGAAGTGTATAGTGTAAGCTGGGTGTAATAGCACAAACGAAATGTGAAATAAAGTGGCAACACCAGCGATTTGAGGTTATAATAAAAGTGAATAAATGATTTTTTTTTCATAAAACAACAACCGGAGACGTTTTAATAGTGTTTTAAAAGTGGAAACTGGTGATTTAGTGCATTTTTGACGTAGTAATTGCTCATAGAAAACAACGAAATTTAACAAAAGTTTTTTGTTTATAACTTTTAAATGGTTGATAATATTAGCTCTCTCTCTCCAGATTGTTAATAGTGGGACCGAAACGCGTCGTTTGGTACCCCTCCCGACTCTTCCGTACCTTTTTTAGGGGTTGTTGCCCTATACTAGAGAATTACCCAAATAACTCATACCTTTTGCATAATATTAATAGAATGTATATTCTAAAGGTGCATAAATAGTGAAATCTCCACATTTAGAAAATTTACTATAGCAAAGAGTTTGGAGGCATACAAAAAAAGTGAAATCTTTAGCTATTGGTAAAATGATTTAGGAGTAGGGGGGAGGGGAGGGGGCGTGGCTCGTCAAACCACCCCTAAACGAAAGAGGATGGACGCCGCTTTATGAAAAGTAACCCCTCATCCCCCTCCACCCCCTAAAGACCCCTTGGGAGCTGTTTGAAAACAGCGGAAATTTGATTTTTTTCCAAAACGATTATAGCCCTCACTACTCTTTTCTCTGTTGTCCAAGAAGAGGGGCTGAACCAGTGTTGCCGTTATAGACCTTTGGTGGCTAGATTTAGCTACCACACACTTTTTTTGGCCACATAAATTTAAAATTGCCCCTAGCGCTCTTTTTAGCACATTTTAGAATTTATTCATACTTGGCATGAAAAACTTGTATAGTTATGCTAAGTTTGATCTAAAATTTTTTGTTCATCTATGTAAAAGATGAATTTTTAAACTAAGAAAGACTGATATATATACATATATGTATTGTATGTTCCTTACGTTTTTATACTACTATAGTTTAAATTAGATAACTTTACGGCCCTTAGTATGTGTATGTTCTTGTGGTGTGATTGTACCAGCTGCTGGTGCGATTTCAAAAACTATTTGAAAATTTTATGATGCTGGTGTCGTGAGTGATGAAATTAGCTAAATTTTCTAAGTAAAAAGTATTTTGGC